GAGGATGAAGATGATGATGAGGATGATGACGAAGACGATGAGGATGAAGATGATGATGAGGATGATGACGAAGACGATGATGAAGATGATGACGAAGACGATGAGGATGAAGATGATGATGAGGATGATGACGAAGACGATGATGAAGATGATGACGAAGACGATGAGGATGAAGATGATGATGAGGATGATGACGAAGACGATGATGAAGATGATGACGAAGACGATGATGATGACAATGAAGATGATGATGAAGATGATGACGCCGATTACGATGATGGCGATATTTATAATAACTATCATGACAGGAATGACAAATGAAAGTAAAATTAATAATTTGATGATAACTAAACTATAGCAAGCTAACTGAGCCCAGACAAAACCTATATGCATGTAATTTCAAACATACACACACACACACACACACAACACACACACACACACACACACACACACACATACATACATACATACATACATACATACATACATACATACATACATACATACATACACACACACATACATACATACATACATACATACATACATAAACACATACATACATACATACATACACACATACATACATACATACACACACACACGTACATACATACATACATAGATACATGGAAAAATGGCGTCTAAAGGTAATTTGTCGGTGAATGAGTTTTTATATTTTTTGATAAATAACTTAAATTTACTTCAAAATGACGTGTTTATTTCAAATGTTGTTGATTTTTACACTTCTGACGATATTACTACTGCATTAAAAACTTTAAAAAATGACTTAGAATTTGTTAAAAATGAAAAGTTTGCAAACATGGAAAAAAATTCTGCGAAAAGCAATAAAAAAGAGGACAAAATGCTTGGTATTGTTACAATTATCTTGCAATTAAACAAAAACATTTTATTGGAATCTCTACCAACCTATGTAAGTGTTAATTTTTCTAAAATTCCCAGTATGGATAATATATTAAATATAAATTTCAATAAAATTAAATTGGAAATTAAAGAAATATTGTACAAGCAAGAGTTATACATAGCGAAACTATTAGAAAATATGAATATAAACTATGTAAACTATCTTGCCAGCAAACCGACTTGCACAGCACCTGAATATCATACGCTGGAAATTGTCCTACCAAGCAAACTAAACAAAAGCATTTTATTGACAACAGACAACAGAGTTAACAACAACAACAATTTCAGCAGCAACAACAGCGGCGACAACAACGGCAGCAACAACAGTACTCTATGGGCAGATGTGAGAACTCCAACTGAAAATATCGACCAACCATTCACAGCTGTTCAGTCAAAAAAACGACCAAGATTAAACATCACTCCAGAGATGGTTGAACGAAGTAACGTCAATAATGGAAGCATCATAAAATCTGCTATAGAGAATATGATGGAAAAACCAGTTAGAAAAATAATTGGTAACAAGAAAAATGACGAATTATGCAAAATTAAAGCTAATAAAATGCTCATAAAAAAATCATTTTTTTCAATGAGCAATGTTCAAAAGTGCCACAGAAACGATGTTATGGAATATTTAAAATCCATTGATATAAATGTCATTTCATGTTTTCCAGTACAGAAACGCACAGATTCTCCCGCCAATGAAAGTCCAAACAACGACGATTGCGAGTCTACGATGTTCAGGGTATGCGTTGAAAGTAGCGATCCTGCTAAGATGAAAAATCCGGACGTTATTTTGCAACATATCATCGTCAAAGAATGGAGGTTCAACCCTAAAAAAACCGATGACAAAAACAACAACAAACATGAAGAATGATGTTTCTAATAAACTTTATCTCAATATGAAAAATGATGAACAATGGCCAATTTATCTTCATCTGATAGATGGCGCCTGACAATAATGAAGTTAAACCTTGTCGGCTTGATGATGTTGATCATGTTAATAATTTGTTGAATGGCTTAAATAATGTGTGTTCTTTTTTACCTCCGGATAAAGTTTATGCATTTATTAATCCGAATTCTTTTTCTGTTATTCACATTAATATTCGAAGTATATTTAACAAAATGACTGAGTTGAATGTTTTGCTTGATTATTGTGGTGGTAATTTTGATTTGGTAGCTGTGAGTGAAACTTGGTTATGTGATCAGACCGCTAATTTAATTAATTTGCCTAATTTTAATTTTGTATCTAAAAATCGCATAGGTAACCTAGGTGGTGGTGTTGGTTTATTTATTAAAAGTCATTTAAATTATGTTGTTCGGGATGATTTATTATCTTATTCTCCTACTTTTGAGTTATTAATAGTTGAAGTGTTTTCAAATATTAGCTGTAATTATTTGTTTATTGTTATGTATCGTCCTCCTTCTACTGATGTTAATGTATTTTTGAATGATTTAAAATCTTTACTCATAAATATTAATCCTGGTTTATTTAAATATATTTACATTATCGGTGACTTCAACATTAACTTATTTTGTAACGATTATAAACATATATCCACTCTATTCATCAATT